AAGCTGGGCTCCAGGATATGCACAACTGAAGAAAACTATGGCTGTGTTGTATAAGCTCCTTCTTTGACCACCCTTTATAGCATAGCCTCTCTTCTCCCTGCAGTTAAATAACCTAAAACCGGCAGCATGTCCTGATAGTAAAATCTTGGGTGATGAGGTAACTTGTTATCCTCTCTGAACCATAATTATCTCATCTGTAAAATGTGGATAATAATACCTGTCTTATCTCCTTGTAACAATCAAATTAGATCATACTTGTGAAAGTTCTATAGTCTTTTAGACAAATGTTCAGTTATTACCACAGCATGCTATCATGGATATTCATCTAGTCGAATATTTAAGACTTGTGAGTCATGCTTAAAACTGAATTTTACTTCTATTTTGTCAATTTTCTTTTTAGCCCTGTGTACTATATTTAATTTTTTGAGAATGGGGCTAAAAAATATCCTTCCTCGCATTTTATAGAAGTGGTTGAGTTGATTGTTGTAAGCCTTGCAGCAGAATTAGACAGCACCAGTGAATTTATTATGTATAAACAGATATATAGACTAGCAATCCACTTAGGAGTATTTCACAGCCTCTTTATCTTTTGTGTAATAAAGATACATCCAAAGGGCTAAAACGTTAGAATTGTCATGGAAGCTCTCACTTATTGTTAGGATTTCCTAATATGGCATATAAAATTACTCATTGAAGAGGTTACCAGCAAAAAAGGCCATTGAAAGACTAAAATACAAGTTTTACTATGATTATTATTATCATTGGCTACTTTTCCAAGTCTTCTATTAGAAACAGGGCTACACAAGTGATAGGGGGAGTTTGTATGATATGGTGTTGTTTGCTTTTTAGAAATTATTCAAGTAAGGCTTTACCCTGTTAGAGAAGCTAAAGACAAAATAATTGCCATCTATCAGATCCCTTAGAGCTTATAATTTGGGTTTAGCATGGCCTGTACTTGACCAACTAATTCTAGTGAGTTCAATGATGCTTTCCAAATGGAAAGCCTTCCCACGAAAGGTCAAAACTGCCTTTTCTAATGGTTTAGTAAACCCAGCAGTAAGTTTCTACTTAGAACTATTATATTATTCTGTATTGAACATTAATCATGGGGGTAAGGTAGTCAGACATGATTCCTTCCCTCAGAGAGCTTATCATCAAACTGAAGGCTGACCATGGTTAGCAAACACTGTTAATAATTAACAAGCAAGTAGGGATATGAGAATACTCAATGAGATATAACATGCAAATTTTAGAAGAGAAGGAGGACAGTGTGTGCTGGAGTCATTAGAGAAAGTGGCATGTATGATTTGATGCTTGAACTGTGCCATGAAGGATAAGCAAGATTTAATTAGATAGAAAAAAATTTGCCGGAAGAATGGAACAAGTTACTTCCAGGCAATAATGTATGTACAGCTCCAAGGATCCTGGCCTGATCAGAGTAGAGGTGAGTAAGGTGAGGCCAGATTTTGAAGGGTGTGATACCAGGTAAAAGAAGTTAGATGAGAGGTACCTGGGTGGCTTAGTCGGTTAAGTGTCTGACTTCGGCTCAGGTCATGATCATACAATTCATGGGTTCAAGCCCCGTGTCAGGCTCTGTGCTGACAGCTAGCTCAGAGCCTGGAGCCTGCTTCTGTTTCTGTATCTCCTCTCTCTGACCCTCCCCTGCTTATGCTGTCTCTCTTTCTCTCAGAAATAAATAAAACATTTTAAAAAATTAAAAAAAAAGAAGTTAGATGATATCTAATGGAACAAAAATGCGACTGCAAGTTTTTATGAGAGAAAGATAAGGTGAGTGGTTGGTCAGGCAGTGATCATCATGGTTGAATGGAGCAGAAAGGACCTAAAGTATATCAGGGGGACATTGAGATGGTTGAGACCTAAGCCAAGATGGCAGCAGTGGGATGGAGAAAAAGGGATGGACAGGAGAAATGTTGTAAAGGAAAAATGAGCAGGACCTCTTCACTGATTAGATTTAAAGACCATACCCAAAATGTATGGTCAAACTTGATTCCACCATTCCTAGCCTCCACCCTGGGTAGTCCAAAGTATTAAGAAATCACTGTCAGAAACAGAAAAGTTAGGAAGTAACATTGTTTCCACAAAAAGCATTTGAGTTAGGCACTTGATGCACTTACAAAGCCTTGTAAGTGAGTAGGCAGTGAGCATCCTAAAAGTGTCACTCGGGGCAGGGCTGGCAAAGGGGGCTGGGCTTTAGCAACACGTACTTAATTAACTGGATCTGTGCAGATGTTCTGCTTTGAGGGATGCCACTGTTTGGGCTTCAGGATGAAAGCCAAGTTATATTTACTCAGATACCATTTGGTCCTCTGAAATATTTGCTTACAGAACTGCTAAGAAAATGATATGTAAAGTACTACTTTTGGAACCAAAAGGTTACTAATGAAAAGAGGAGACCAGTGAAAGGTGGGTAAACTTCTCTAAGCCAAGTATAGAAAAAGGTACCATTAAAAGCCTCCTACCTGTGGTAGTGATAATAAAACAATTTCCCAACTCTGTAGTTTAAGATGCCTTAGTACCTTGGGCCATTTTAAGCAGTTCATGTGGGCACTTAGTAAATATTTATGAAACTTAATCTATCATTAATTCTAGTATCACAGTTTGTCATTCTTATTTATAACATCTCTGAAGTTGTGTCTTATAGTTGATGTCATTGTGTTATTATTGTTAGCCATGTAGGAGTCATTGTACACTTGTCATCACCTTAACCAATTTACTTTGCTTGATTTTCTTTGTTACATATGCAGAAAAATTGTATATTATGATAAAATGTGTCCAAATTTAAGTCTAAAAGAATTCTTCAGTAAGTATGCAGTAACAGTCCCAAGTGATAAAGAAAACAATGGGTTAATTGGCTGCATTTTTTTATTTCTTAGTGGTACATAAAATGATGTGTTTTATAATGCTGGTATCTTAGACTTGATGAAATATGGCATTAAAATATTGCTGATCACAGCAAATCTCTACCAAAGTGATAAGGATGGCTGGAGTAAAATATTCTAAATTTGCATTCTTTCGTCGACCTACATTTGAGGTGCCCCTTGGGTTGTTTTAATTTGGACTGGGAACATTAAGAGAAAGGGTTTTCATTCAGTGGTGTAAATACCGCCTGCCAGGAATAGAAACCTCCTTGGAGGATACATTTCTTTGATGGTGCAGAATCCAGAACATTCAAAAAAAGTTCAGGTGTTAGCAAAATAGTTATCTGTGGTTTATTCAAACCAGTACGTCCTTCCAACTCTGACCACTGTGCACTCCAAACAGTTCTGAGCATGCTTGCTATTTGTACGTAGTGAGAGTGAATCCACAAAGAAATTTGTGGGTATTTGGGGATGGTAATAGTCCCTTAGTGGTAGAAAATGGGATCTCTTATACAAGTGGAGAAGAGAGACATTTGTTTCTCAATGCCAAAATTTTCAGCCATTTCTGCAGTATGACCTATTGACTGGAGGTAGGTTGCCTTCCCATTCAGTGACACTTCATATGGACAGAACAGTCCTTTCTCCTACTGGTTACACATGTGTGTGTCTTTTTGTAAGTCCTTGCTCCAGGACTGAGAAGTAGGAATAGTTAGAGTGTTGGAGCTCAGGGATGCTTCTCTTTGTTGCTAAGGGAGCCAGTGCTTCAGGTAAGTATTCTGAAGTCCTTCACCATCTGACGGTAACCTTGGGTCGGTCTATAGGTACGTTTTTATTTTACTTGTTCTTCCATTCTAATTGGCTTCCCAGAGCCTGCTTATAGATGTAGAGCCAGACTTAGAATATAACAACCCTCTGGCAAACAGGAAAAGATTAATTTTGTGGTGTGCTGTTAAGGGACTTCCCAGAAAACTTCAAAAGCACAGAAAGAAGTGCTCACTGCCTATTCCAAAACATGCAAAACGCCACTCAGCCTTTTAAAGGTATGATAAACTCTGAGCTCTCTCTCACACACACACATACACAAAGGACCACATTTCCAATAAAAGGAGAAGCTGAGCTTTCTTGGATGACTCTATATATCAGCCAGAAAAGCCAAAGGGGTGAGGAGCTCAGAGAGTTAGTGGAGATAAACGTGGATCTGCACATGGGAGGCATTTGACATTGACTTCAGTGCCTTATTAAAGCCGACTTTTCTAGTGGTCTTTTAAGCAGACACATTATTTTCATGACATAAGCCCCAGGCATAGACACACCATTAAAATGAACGGGTAGGAAATGATTTGTGTTTGGAAATAAGCAAAACATTTTCAATAATGACCACCCAGGTGTAGGAGGAAAACATTGAAGCTGAAGTTGGGAGCCCCGAGCTCTGATATAAACTTTGTTCAGGACGGGAAGCAAGTCCTCAGTGGCCTTGGGTTTCCTTATCTGTAAAGCAGGATGGCTTGATGAGATGATCTTTATGCTTTGTCCTAATCGATTATGGGGGCAAAAAAGTCCATATAAAAGGCTCCTTACAGCTCCCGGACTCCTGTTTTATGGTGCTCTTCATGCCTACAAATCACACAGCCAGAAAGGCCCCCACAGACCCCTCGGGCCACTGCTGTTCTTGTCACACAGCTCCCGCAATAGGACCATGTTGCTAACTCAGGAAAAAAATTACTATTACACTTGGAGTTGTTGCTTAGTAACATTTCTGATTTTGTGTTTCTTGTGACAGCCTGAGCAGAGATCATTAAAAATTAAACTTACAAAGCTGGTAAAGTGGGAGGAAAGAGGAGAACTTGCAGCCACAGTTTTTTCACTTGTGTAGAAGCCATCTAACCTTGGGTTTAAACACCACATCTCAGGGCACAGGCCGCACATCTCTGGTTTGTATTAAGCCACACAGAGCACACAACTGACACTAACGTGTATCTGGTGCAGCTGCAGTTCATTACCAGTGCATAAAATCCTTGCCCCCGCAGAATGGCCTGCAATCACAATCAGATGGCTGTACTGCATCCCTTCGAAAGAAAGCGCTAACCAGCTCTGTGTCCTGTTTCTGCTTTTTCCCTACAGCTCCACCAGGTGAGAAGAGTGATGACCATCCTTTTCCTTACTATGGTTATTTCATACTTCAGTTGCATGAAGGCTGCCCCCATGAAAGAAGCCAACGGCCGAGGACAAGGCAGCTTGGCCTACCCAGGTGTGCGGACCCATGGGACTCTGGAGAGCATGAACGGGCCCAAGGCAGGTTCAAGAGGCCTGACATCATTGGCTGACACTTTTGAACACGTGATAGAAGAGCTGTTGGACGAGGACCAGAAAGTTCGACCCAATGAAGAAAACAATAAGGACGCGGACTTGTACACTTCCAGGGTGATGCTCAGTAGTCAAGTGCCTTTGGAGCCTCCTCTTCTCTTTCTGCTTGAGGAATACAAAAATTACCTGGATGCTGCAAACATGTCTATGAGGGTCCGGCGCCACTCTGACCCTGCCCGCCGTGGGGAGCTGAGCGTATGCGACAGCATTAGCGAGTGGGTGACAGCGGCAGATAAAAAGACTGCAGTGGACATGTCGGGCGGGACGGTCACCGTCCTTGAAAAAGTCCCTGTATCGAAAGGCCAACTGAAGCAATACTTCTATGAGACCAAGTGCAATCCCATGGGTTACACAAAGGAGGGCTGCAGGGGCATAGACAAAAGGCATTGGAACTCCCAGTGCCGAACTACCCAGTCGTACGTGCGGGCCCTCACCATGGATAGCAAAAAGAGAATTGGCTGGCGATTCATAAGGATAGACACTTCCTGTGTATGTACATTGACCATTAAAAGGGGAAGATAGTGGATTGATGTTGTATAGATTATATTGAGACAAAAATTATCTATTTGTATATATACATAACAGGGTAAATTATTCAGTTAAGAAAAAATAATTTTATGAACTGCATGTATAAATGAAGTTTATACAGTACAGTGGTTCTACAATCTATTTATTGGACATATCCATGACCAGAAGGGAAACAGTCATTTTGCGCACAACTTTAAAAAGTCTGCATTTCATTCCTCGATAATGTTGTGGTTTGTTGCCGTTGCCAAGAATTGAAAACGTAAAAAGTTTAAAAAAATAATAATAAATTGCATGCTGCTTTAATTGTGAATTGATAATAAACTGTCCTCTTTCAGAAAACAGACAAAAAAAAAAACAACAACAAAAATTTGAACCAAAACATTCCGTTTACATTTTAGACAGTAAGTATCTTCGTTCCTGTTAGTACTATTATCTGTTTTACTGCTTTTAACTTCTGATAGCGTTGGAATTAAAACAATGTCAAGGTGCTGTTGTCATTGCTTTACTGGCTTAGGGAATGGGGGGATGGGAGGGGTATATTTTTGTTTGTTTTGTGTTTTTTTGTTTGTTTTGTTTTTTTGTTTTCTTTCTTTTCTTTTCTTTTTTTTTTTTTTTCAGTTCCCACAGGGAGTAGGGATGGGAAAAGAATTCCTTCAGTATATATTCTGGTTGATAAAAGATTTATTTGTATGTTGTAAAGATGTTGGCAATATCAATCAGATGACTGGAAAATGAATAAAAATTCAGGCAACTAAATGAAGTGCTCACTCCACTTCCCATGATGCACCTCCTAGGCTCCCACTCACACTTTGGGCCTTCATCAGCAGAAGCTTCTTTTGCTGGAAAGACTTACATTTTCTTAGAGCACATTCTTTCCCTCCCTCCTCCTTTGGTCCCCTCTTTGTTTTGTTTTCTCTTAAAGGAAGAAAAATCAGTTGGGCACTCTGAAATAATTTACCACTGCTGAACAAGTGAACAAATTTTGTCATTTTGTGGCACTCTTATATAAGCATGGAGAACAGTGATTTCTTTCTTTTCTTTCTTTCTTTCTTTTTTTTTTTAGAAGAGAAAAAGAACAACAAAAAACTCAAAAACAAAGATTCTTTTTTATGAGGGGTAAACATTTGGGTAAATCATTTGTAAGGCTTAACAAAATCATGGTAAAGCTTAAAGATGTCTTGCAAGCAAAAGGTGGAGTCTGTATGGACCCAGAAATGCCTAGATCAGAGCAGAAGCCCACACTGCCAGTGAAGTGAGACTGAACCAGCCATATGGAGGCGGTTGTGGAGCTGACACGTCATTTCTGGGTGGTGCAGGAGGAATTTCTGTGTGGCCATCCTGAGGTCTAGGTGGGGGTGGGGAATGGTACTTGAGACATTCCAAGAGGGAGGCCTCTGAAGGACCTTTCAGAGGTGGCTCTGGAATGACTGTGTCAAGTTGCCTGGACCTCGAGCTTTAAGTGCCTACATTATCTAACTGTGCTAAGAGGTTCTCGCTGGAGGACCCCACTCAAGCTGACATGCTCTCCACCCCTGGGTAATTTGTCCTACAGCTGGATTAGCCTGGGGCAGGTTCAGAACCAAATGTGGCATTGTCCTCATGAGTCTGATGCAATGAAATGGAAGATGCTTGCGACATGAACACTTTCTGCTTTGAAATTGGACTTGAGGAAACCAGGGTTTTTGTCTTCTGAGAACTATTGGTAAGGGGGAAGGAACAGGAAGAGGCCCCAGAACTCAGGTTGGATGACCAAGGCTACCAAGAGAAAATCTTGTCCCGAGACAAGACTTCAGGTGTCTGCACGTCTAGGACATGGAAGGCTTGAAGGTGCCTTGCTCAATGGAAGAGGCCAGGACAGAGCTGATTCGCTCCCCAGTGAAGGCCTCAGCAACCTCCTGCCCATCATGTCTGTTTATGGAGAGGGTCCCTGTCTCACCTCTGCCATCTTGGGTTTGGAGAAATAAAGTTGGGAGCCTGGAATAGTGTGGTCCTGGGAGAAATGAATCCCAGGGGAAATTAGTGCTAAACCCACTCACCCATTCAGCCCATTATCCAAATCTGAAAATGTCTTAGACCAGTGTCCTTGAATATCAGAAATCCTTAAGAAGTTGCTGCATCTTCGTAGGGTGAGGGCTAAGCAAAAGAGGATGTCCACCATGACCCAGGGAATGAAGATACCATCAGCAGATAATTTCTATTTGTTCAGTCTTTCATTTAGAGCGAGCCTAGCCTATCCTTTACGATACCATCCAAACACGTGTCTTTAAAAGAGGGAAGACTTTAGGTTTGTTTTGTGCTGTTTGAAAATACTGTCTTTATAATTATTTTGGACATGTAATGAATATCTGCTGTATGTTAACTTTTTGCAGCTTCCTTCTGAGGGACAAAACTATAAAACAATAAGTCCCCATCACAGTCTCAAAGTCCGGCTAAGGCCAGATCTGTTAAGTGGTTGAACAGGAGACATTCTGCAATTGTGTGGTCACTGGCTCTCTCTTACCCGATAGGATACATCACAGTCACATGCTTGGTGGTTTACGTTGACCTAAGATTTATTTTGTTAAAATCTTTCTCTGTTGCTGTTCATTTTTGTTCTGTTCAGTTTTGTTTTCTTTTAAAGTCTTGCTGTGGTCTCTTTGTGGCAGAAGTGTTTCATGCATGCCGGCAGGCCCGTTGCTTTTTTATGGTGATTTCCATTGAAAATGTAAGTAAATGTCTGTGGCCTTGTTTTCTCTATGGTAAAGATATTATTCACCATGTAAAACAAAAAAAATATTTATTGTATTTTAGTATATTTATATAATTATGTTATTGAAAAAAATTGGCATTAAAACTTAACCGCATCAGAAGCCTATTGTAAATACAAGTTCTATTTAAGTGTACTAATTAACATATAATATATGTTTTAAATATAGAATTTTTAATGTTTTTAAATATATTTTCAAAGTACATAAAATCTGGGGGTTCTGGGTTTTTTCTCTTCACTGTGAAACAAACATGAAAACGTGTTTCATTATAAATACGTGTGTTCCTTGCTTTAAGACCAACCTGACTAGTTTTAGCAATTGCACACCCCCCCCACCTCAGAGGGGATGCTTATTTCAAAGCATGGGAGGCCAATCCTGCAGTCTCTGAGCTTCTAAGAAGCTCTAGGATTGGGCCCGTCTTCCACAGTGGAAGACAGGAGTGTCATATTCTAGGACACTTGAAAGTTTTCTCCTTTGAAGTGATATACTTTCATCAAGTACCAAACCATGTATCCTAGCAACATCAGGATCCACGAATCAGGGCTGGCTGGCTCTGTTTGATTATAAGATAACTGTTGGGGGAAAAAAAATAATAAAAGCAGGTTAACTTAGGAATAATGAGAATAAGTTGGCCCAAATTTAAAAGTCAGTGGCTGAAGGAAAACATAGAAATTCAATATTTAGAGGCAGGTCATGTACCCTCAGTTTGGAAATGGTGCCATTTGCATTATGTATTTGTATCCATTGCACTGATTTAATTTTTGAATGTGGAGCATGCAGATTTTATATCATAGTACCCATGATCTAACAGATTGCTAGGATTTCTAAAAAGATTTGCCTCTGTGATGGCTGCCAAGCCGCTGGGTAATTTAGTTAAAGTGTTTAAAGTTATCACTAAATCTTAGGGAAATAAATGGAAGGATTTTAAATTAGAGAAAATGCCATTAAGGAAAAAAAGCATCTGTTCCTACTCTTCAGACTCCCCATTTGAACACTGACAACCCATCGCAGAACGTGGTGAACTATATCTGTGCAATGTATCATTTCTATTTCAAACATACACACATGGTTTCCTCTTGTATTGTCTTATAAATAAGGATCAAGAAAGTCATAACAAACATTGACTTGCCTTGTGTATATGGAAGAACAGATCGAATGAGATGAATTACTCAATCCTAATCTGTCCAGGGAGCTTGCAAGGTACTCCAAACTCTTAAGAGAAGCCTTTGACTGCCAGTCAAGGCATGAACCCAGCCATGGAATTAGAACTTTGGTAAATGTCAGGCTTAACCAATTTTCATAGGGAAGACTAAGATATTTTTGAAAGGATTGTGTAAAAAGCAGTGAGAATTAAGTGTGGCATTCAAATTACCTGACGTTAAAGAAATTTGGTTAACAAGACTGAGAGTTTTCATCAGAAGATGAGGTCAGAGAAACAAAAAATGAAGGCATCTACTAAATTAACCAACTTGGAGTTAACAGAAGTAGTCACTTTGTACTCCGTTCATTGGGTACAAACAGTTAAGTCTGTTCCATCACTGAGATGCCTAGAAATAGCCCAGATCATTGCTTTCTTTGATCTATTGGGTTTTTTTCCCCCACCATATTGAGAGTCCTCTGTGGTTATTGGCAGTGTCTATGAAGATTTATTAGCTGTACTAATTCCATGAGTACTACCCCAGTTGTGAGATTCTGAACTAAGTGTTAGGACAGATCAATGCTAAATCTTCTCTTATTCATTTAAGTGATTACTAGACTGGATAAAATGTCAAAAACCTTATGAACTGCAACCAAAGCCTTCCAGCCTGGCCTCAGTGCAGCCAGCACTGAGGCAGCATCAGAGTGTAAGCCTAATGTGAAACATAAATATCTGGTGTGCATTCTCACATCAAGCCTGTTCTACAAGTCGGTTAAAGTTGAGATGGCTGCATATTTTGGTAAGCTATTGTTAAGTAAAGAATGTTAACAGTTTTCATAAGAAATGATAGGTGTACATAAATGTAGGTAGATACAGCCTGGAGAAAGTCATACATGGATTTTATCCATCCTCAAAATGTTGGACAGCAAAATTAGTGATGGAATCTGGGCCCTTTGGGGCCCTTTGTAATTTAACAAAGTTTAAAAAATTCATTTTTGGTTTTTGGTTTTGGTTTTAGCTGTGGATTGTTTTAACTGTAGTTTTAAAGGTTAGGCAGTTGGTGATTTGGGGGAAGGAGGGTTGGGAATCTGACCCTGGTTGGTTACAGTAAGCTAACTGATGGTTGGTTCTGTGAATCCCCACCCAAGAGCCAAACTGAGTGACTAGAGTAGATGCTCCCACTCCAACCAGCAGTATTTATGTATAGTGCAGCTGATAAAGCCCCCCTACCACTCTCCCCAGGCTTGAGTATCTTCATCCACTCCCCAATGCTAGCCACCATTTTAATTCTTTATTAAAGATAGACAACCTCCTCATCTTTTGATTGATAAGTAATTAGATGCAATAAGTTGCCTGGAGAGTGTTTAAATATTAACAGAAAAATATTGTGATCTTACACATTGTTACATTCCTCATTA